TATTTTGCATAGTCAATATTGTTTTGTAATGTGATTTAGACTTGTTAAAATCATAACTTAATTTGTTATGTTAATAAAACTAATTGTGTTTTAACAAGTTCCTTTATTGAAATAATATGTTAAGTTACTAATATCACTTCTATTGTTAACAAGTTTCTTTATTGAAATAATAAATTAAGTTAAGATTTTAATAGGTTTGCTTCATATTATTGCAAAATAATATTGAATATACAAAATATATAGTTTAACAAGTTCCTTTACAGAACGTTTGTAAAATGTCAAGTTCAATTATTGTTTTAACAAGTGCAATTGATGTTGTAACAAGTCAATAAGATTGAATATGGACATGTGTTATTAATAAATTCCTTTATTAAATTAATAATTAACATTACTAAATTAAAAATTCTTAGACATTTTTGCCATTTAATCCTAATATTTTTAGGACTTTTCCTTTTTTTCGATTATTTTTCTCCCTATAAAAATGAAGGGTAAATGTAATCCAAAAAGCCAAAATCCCATTCATGGTTAAATGAAATTAAAGGTGTTAAGTGTGTACCAAAAAAAAAAATGAAAGGTGTTAAGTAGCGTGAAAACAAAAATGGGAGTAGGGGAGCACGGCACATTTGAATAGTGAATGATAAAGTATATGGTTAAAAGGATAATTAAATTGTTAAGATATTTAATTGGAAATGGATAAAGCTTAATGGATAAGGGCAATATGATTTTGAGGGGCAATATGATTTTACGGAGGTTAGATTGTAAATGAGTCCAGGAAGGGGATTGGAGTGGGCTATAAAAATTTTAGCAAAATTTGAATACAGAAAGGAATAATATCACTGGAATGTGTCTGAAGTAGCATCCTAGTTTGGCTAAGCACTTGCTCATATCCAATCCCCAAGTCTAATCACTTGAGATTTTCCATTATATCATCCAAGATTGATCCAGACTTTTGAAAACCTCAATACAAGCTAAACTCTTCAAGCCTGAAACGCTCTCTCTTACAGAGCTAATCAAACAATACAACCCACTTAAATTACTTGAATTTAAATCTCTATTTTCAAGTATGTAAAACAAGATATAACAGGGTATGATCATCCAAATGATCAACTACAATAAATCTCTCTCAAAAGAGAGGATATATATGAGATGAGATTCACAATAAATGAATGCATGGAGAGCGGTTGAAGTATTGAAAATTTAAGTTTGTAATCTTTAATTAGTCTCTATATTCATCTTTATAAATGAGTCATTGTCAAATGTAAAGTGTCCTTTTGATTCATTAATCTTTCTGTTCTAACTTGTGTTGCTTTATCCGATGTTGATCAATGTCCAACGGTTTTGAGTTACTTAGAAAAGATGGATGAAGGAATTTTTTTCCAATTGGGTAACGTGTTTTAGACCAAAATGGTTAAAAAGCAAAGTACGCATTTAATGTTCTTACATCATTACCGCCGAGACAATTTCAAAAATAATTAAGAGTTTTGAAATTCGTAAATAGAAAAAGTGGATAACTTTCGAAACAAAAAAGAACACTTTCGAAATGTATAAACTAACGTGATTTTGGAATAACTAGATTAAATAAATAAGACCAAGGAAATCACGAGTTTAAAGGGCAAAGAATAGAATCCTGAATTAATGAGAAAAAGAACAGAGAACATATAAGCAATGGGTTTAGGTACTTTCAAAATTCGTAGGTACTTTCGAAATTCACATAATTTGGAAAATGAAAGGCTGAGAGAAATTTCGAAGTTTAGATCAGCTTTGAAATATTTCCAGAATATATGGAGGAATTTTGAAATTTGTGAACAGAAGCTGATGGAAAATGCATCCCAGAAAGAAAATCAAAATATAAGGTTACTTTCAAAGTTTGGAAAAGTCAAAGCTCAAACCAAGAAAAACTTTTAAAACTGAGGATCATTTTAGAAATTCAGGACACACTTTCAAAATTTAGGGACAATTTCGAAATTCTTGGGCACTTTCAAAATTTGGGGAACTTTGGAAATTCTATATCAGTAGTATCTATCAGCGTACGATTTCGAAAGTCTTGAGATTGATTCTAAACACATTAGAATGAACAAATTAAGTTCAAGTTTTGGAATCATAAGCTTAAATTCGAAAGAGTGAAAGAATTAAGACCAAGATTGGAAACGTTTTTGAAGGATAGTGAAAAGATTGAATAAGAATGTTGAAACAAGTAGGAATTTTGAAATTTACACAAACTTTCAAAATGCTTAAAGGCAGCTTGAAAAACGAGAAATTGATTAAGTTCTGGCCTGGAGAAATTGATTAAGTTAAGCCATCAAACTTTATACATCCACTCTCTTAGGATAACCTACACTTATTAAACCAAAACCTTCTATAATTTTGTCATAATCAAAACCATGAATCCTATTTCTACATAAATAATATTTTTGGGCTCTTAACCTAAAGGATAATCTTAAGAGATAAATAAAGCAAATATAATATGAAAATAAACCAAAATCCTGAACATGCTGCTTGTGTAAACTAATTTGGGCTCAAATAATTATTCAAGTGTCTAACGAAAAGAAATACATCCAAATAATATGAATTAAAGTTAAAGACTCACGAAACAGAGCATTTGGTGCCATTTGAGCTCAACCTTGCATCGTTGACTGTGCCATTTTTGAGCTCTCCACGCAACGTAATCATTAATTTGGAAGCTCTTGTACCGCTAGATTGCTTCCTTTTGATTGTCATGTTAAAAGTTAAAATATAATTTTAATCCCCTAATTTTATATAAAATTTTAATTTAATTTCATAATTTTATAAAATATATTTTTAATCATTTAAATTTAATTTTATTAGTTTTAAATAATTATTTTTTATCAATCATTGTTATTATAAAAAAAATTAAACTTAATAAATCAACATTTGATATTATTTTGTTAATGTTTGAAAATTTAATATAAATTTTTTTGTGAAAAAAAACTAACAATGTTAAGGTAAAAAGATTAAAAATATGTTTATAAAAGTAAGAGACTAAAATAAAATTTAGTATAAAATTAAAATATTAGAAGTATATTTTAACCTCATGTTAAATGTCTTCATCTTTATTTTTTAAATTAGGTAACACAGAGAGACAAGCTTCCAATGTAGTTGGGCTTATTTTTATAAATTTGGGCTGGGCCTTCCTCTCAAACACTTTCCTTGTCATTGCTTGCAAAGTCAACTTTATTCTTTTAACCCTTAAACATATCAATGGGCCTCCTATGCATAGTAATGTTGAATTAGGAGTAGAATCTTGAAGCCATTGCAAGCATCGCCTAACAATAAGAATTGGGTCTAATAAAATAAACTATTTCCTCCTAATATAAAAAATTGATATTCAAATCCTTACTAGATGAAGTGCTCATATTTAATAATAAATAATGCCTTCAAAAAGATTACCTTTAATAAAATGACAGCTATAGAAGGCCAAAAGAAAACGTTGACCACTCATCTAGTTATCTTAGACATGCTTTTATATCACTTTTTGCTTTTAGCACACTAGTTCATCAATTTATTGATCCAACCGTTCGATTCAATTCAATTTTTAATTCTGTGATGTTGAAGAAAATTAAAGAGACTTATTTAAAATTAATTCTCTTGTAAGGGACTTATTTATCATTTTTTGCCTAATTCAATTTAGCTCCATTGTTTTTAGTTAAATTTCATAGGAAAAATATTTAATGTCCATTTTAAGATATCACATGGCATCATATCATCATTTGCTCCAAACTTTCCGAATGCGCGTTTTAACCAATGCAATAGACATTAGATAATTCCGCCGACGAGTCAATAAGGGGCCTCCTTGCATTGCTATTGGGGAACTTGCTTTGCTCCCAGCCTCCCATTAAAAAAAGGGTTAATGTTATCCATAGATCTTATATATGAGAAGAAAATCACATCCATTCCCTCATTAAATAATTACTAATATAGGATATTAGTAATTATTTCATGATTATAAAAAAAATTAGTTAAAATTTTAATCTAAAAAAAATCACGTATCTTTTTAAAAATACCCTCATTAAATTCCTATAAAAGTTCCTTATAATGATAATTAAAATATCAATATATCATTTTTTAAAAGAATAATGAATGAAGTATAGGTATAATTGAAAAATTATATGAAAACTTTTTTTTTGGTGTTCAAAACAGTTATAGAAAAACAGTTATAAGAAGTAAGCAATATCTTATATTTTTTGCCTTGATCACTGGGAGTATCTTCTTATGAAAAATTCACATGCTCCTAGATTTATGTTTAACCCTTTTTATTTTTAAAAATTATCAAACATGGCAAAAAATTATATAATTTTCAATTATATTGTTTCTAAAATATTTCAACTGAGAACAACTCAGTTTTTATAAATTTTTAACTCAAAATAACTTTGTCATTATAGTTTCTTTGTAAAACCCAGTTTTTATGATTCATTAACCTAATAAACTACAAGGACCGAGTTACTAAATCCAAAATTGAAAGAATGTTTAAGGATGAAAAATCATATTATCTCAAAAAATTTTAATGTTTATATATTTGGCAAAATTTTCTCCTATAAATTAGTTTTTCTGGTCGTCACTTGAGGCAGTTCAACTTGATTGATCAAATCATATATACTCTCTAAACTATTAATTCTCTATAATACTAATTAGAATAAAATATTACTTGATGAACATAGTATATTTATCTAAATATTGGGTGAACTTCAATGACAATGAGGGAGAAAATCCCCAAAATGTCCAACACCATGGAGATTGTGGCTGCATGCATGAGATTGGCTGATTGGGAACTACCTGGTGGGGATCCATCTTCCCCTCCACATATCAGTACAATAAATAAGGAGAAAAGCCAAAATGAAGAAATTAACCTCAAAATTGCAACTTAATCCTTTTTCAATTTTGAGTGTTTCAAGCTATTTCCCCCAAAAATTAACTTCATTACATCAACCCAATCCAATATATACATAACCTCACGGAACAAGAAAGAGAGGGAGGGAGAGAGATGAAAAAAACCATAAAAGCGGAATAATCATAGAAGAAAATTAAACTCTATCACCTCCGTATGTACAAACAGCAAAACTAACAAAAGTTCATCCAGTTACAAGACCTATAATTAATAAGTATGACATCAAACTCTGCTAAAGATCTTATTAGTGGATGATCTGTAAATATTTTTATAAGTGCTCTTTGAGTTTGGAGGCATGCTCATATCTTCATCTGTCACCCAAAGCACAACTGATCTAAAACTTTTTTTTTTTTTTAGAATAAGAAAAACAACCTATAATAACCACCCTACAAGCCACCAAACAGCTTCTAATCGACCAGTTCAAAATTGACAAAACAATGAAGTTGGAGCTTTTGAATCAAAATTGATGATTAGAGCTCGGGGATGCTTTGAAGGGCAGGTTTCCATGGCCGTTGATGTGTCTGAGAGCGATGACTGTGACTGATCAATTGGACCATAAATTCATCCGCCCTCAGATCTTTCACGTCTAATTTCCCTAGCAATGCCTCCAGTTGCTTCTTCGTTATCTTTATCTTCACCTCCGTTGTTTTACCGGCGCCGCCACCGACGTCCTTCGCCTGAAAGTAATCGATCTCCTTCTCCGGCGTGTAATCCCAGAATTCGTCGTCATCGGTATATTCCACCGTTGATGGATGCTTCAAGCAATTACCCATTTGTGAATGAATTGCTTTGAAATGCTAGAGAAGGAGCGCCTTGAAGAAGTATTATAATTTTCTGGAGATGGGGAACGAGTTGGGTTTTATATAAAGGAAGATTCGGGGAAGAAAGAGTCACAACGCATCAAGTAGGTGAAATGACAGCTTTGCACTTAATGTTTTTTAATTTAAATTACACTAATTATATGATCAATTCTTCATCTGTGCGCAATCCAATTAGAGAGAGAGAGAGAGAGAGAGAGAGAGAGAGTAATAAATCTATCTTTCTAATTATTATATGCTCTCTTATTCTATTGGATTACAGTCAGTGATCCAAATTCTGCTACAAATTAATGCCAAAAAAGTATATAATCGCAGAGGATTTAGTTTGCATGATAAAAATTTGATTATTGAGAATATAAAAATTATTAAAATTTGGGGTTAAATGATAAACTAGTATCTAAATTATAAGTTCAAAAATGTTTGTGATACTAAACTCGTTTTTAATGTAATGAATCTCTTCAACTTTTAAAAATGATTCAATATTATCTCTACTGTTAATAAATATTAATTTTAACTATTAGTTAATAAAAAAATTATAGAAAATGAAATATAAAATTATAGAATAAAGATGAAGAAATTTTGTTAGTCTTTCACTTTAATTTTTTTATTCTTATTTGTAATTTTGGGTCATTATATGTAATTTTTTAGTCATTTTATATCATTTTAAAGGTTTTTTTTAATTTTCAGGTCAATTAACTATTAAAGTTAATTTTTATTAATAATATAAGTGATATTATATTATTTTTAAAAAATTAAAGAGAAATATTATATCAAAAATAAATTTAAAATCTTAAACATTCCTGAACTTGAAATTTAGGAATCAATTTACCATTTAACCCTATCATTTATCTCTTTATTTTATTTTTTAATTTAAAATTTATTTTTAATAAAAATAGTGAAAATAACTATATGTTAATTATATTTATCAATCAAGTGAGAATAATTAATGCCAGGTAGGATGAGATGCCGTTGGTGGGGATAAATAATTAAAAGACGAGGGGTTTGACCTAATCAAGGTAGGATCTGCATGTGCATGTGAGCTCATTAATTTGGACTCGCTTGCACTTCTTTCATTTTGGTGGCCCACCGGGATTCAGTGGCATGTGCGTTCTTTGTTGGCGTGAAAGGAAATTGGATTGGAATCCATTACCATCATTACTGTCTATTAAAACTGAAAAGGCAACAGAGCAATTAAGGATCATAAGAAGAAATATATATGACTTGGAATCAGTTATTATCAAAACATGACTAAAAAAATAAACTCAAATAAATTATTATTAATTTAAAATAAATTTTTATTAAAATTTAAATGGATATCTATTAATAAAAAAATTAATCTAAATTAATAAAAATTTATGTGGATTTTAATAACAATTAATTTTAATTGATATAAATTTCCTCCCATCCTTGATTGATATTTTTTCATCTACAAACTATGGGTGTGTATAAATAACAATATTATAACTAAAGGTGTACCATTTCACAAATGTTATGTAGTATAATTTGTTTTTAGTTTTACCAGTTTTTTTTTCAATGTTTTTAATATCAATAGTTCCAGTAAGATTGGGTGAAATTTATTTTTTATGTCCCTAACAATGTTAAATTGTAGGGACTATAAAGACTGAAAGCACTGAAAATAAATTAGAGACAAGCAATGACCAGCCACATGTATTCGAGGGGGGTGTATTAAAAAAATTACATCTATGAGGTATATGTTTTTTGATATTTTGCACCCCTTCTTTTTTGTATTTTGTACCCTTTGTTTTAACATTTTGAAATTTAAACCCATTCTAGGTTAGTTTTTTTAACCAAATCCAAAATTAAAAATTTTTTAATCGAAAACCCACTAAATTTTAGCTCACAATTTCACCATATCGAAATAATAATAGTAATTATTTTATAAAAAAATATTATTTATTAAACCTTTAAAAAAAATTTAGTCTTGGTGAAAAATTAGTTAGAATTGGAAAATATTATTATTTATCTATTATTTTATCTTCTCCAGAAATCAACAATTATATTGCCCATCATCACAACAATGTTAGAAAGAGCTTTTTCTACTATAAAGTTTGTAAAGAAATTGGTTGTGTAATCAAATGAAAAACCTAAGGCTAAATGATTGTCTGGTGGCTTATACTGAAAAATGTATATTCGAAAGCATTGACAATAAACTAATTATTTAACGATTTCAAAACATAAAACCATATAAAGAAAACTTATAAGGTATATGTAGCTATTAAATAATTATTTTTTAATTATTTTTTTCAATTATAAATATGTAATGAATTTGCCCCCAACCCAAGATCCAGCTTCACCATTAATTAAATGAAAAACCTAATAAAACCTAATACATTTTGAATTGTTTATATTATATGTATTTTGATATGATAGGTTGACGACAAGAATTGCTTAAGGAAGAATCATATCAAAGCCTCCTAGAATGAAAAAAATCACACTAAAACCCAATGCATTTTAAATTATTTTTATAGACGCAAAGGCCCCTAAATACAAATATGTTTGCATTTGTGATAAGGTGTAAAGACCGAAGTCATTTGTGAAAAGAAGCATTTGCCTTTAATCACACTAACTATGTAAAAAAAAATGAACACTATGTTATTCACATTTAGATTTTGTCATGTTCTCTACAAACATTGTGTTTTACATTTATCTGAAAAATTTATACATTGTTGTTTAACGTATCCATACGAACTATGCATAATGAATAGATATTATAATGTTCATATATAGACGTTGTGTTCATTAGATAAGGGCATTGTATTGTATATACACATGAGAAACTTATACATTTGGGGCAAGTGCATTTTTTACAAAGAAACATATTTGCATACACCACCTTTGAGCTTGCAGATACAATTTAGATTGTATTAGGCCTTAGATGCAATTGTTTCAATTTTAAGGACCTTAGGTGCGAATCTCTCATTACTTGATATGTGTAATTCTTTTTTATATCTTTCTTAGAAAATGTTGAAACTTTTGCAAACAAAGCTCGAGTGTCACAAATAATGTTTTTGTGTCATTTGAATCATAGGTTATTTGGTAATTTTATTCATGTCTGTATATATACTCAAGCATAATAAAAATCCATAATAATTAAATAAATATTAATATAATAATTAAATAATAATGACATTTTAGATGTTAGTGCTAATTTTACAAAACTTGGAGTTGGAGGCGGTGATGAGGGAAGTAGGTGGGAAGGTGGGCTGGCACCAATACTGTTATTGAGTGGCCTCACGAGAACATTAGGTGTGAATGCGAACGAAGCAAGGGAATCTGTCATCCAAATGAGCTCAAAGGTACGGCTTGTGGGTCCCACCAGCCACCATCCCATCATACAGGGGTCTCTCCCTTTTTTTTTTTCATCCCTTTCCCTCCACTTCTCCCATCATCACCATTTAAATTTTTTTATTAAACAATTTTTTTAAATAAAAAAATTAATGAATGGTGGAGATAGGGGAAGTGGAGGGAAATGGAGGAAAAGAAAGTGGAGAGACCCCACTTCCCCATTTTGCCTCTAACTCAAAAGCACGTATCGTAGGCACCACAGCGGCATGACCCTCGATTTTCTTTAATATTATCCACTGCGATGACAACTTCTTTCCAATTTTTTTTTTATATTGTATTAAAATCTTACATAAAAAAATTGATTATTATAAAATTTATTAATAATTTAATTAAATTATATTAAAAATATAATTAATTATTAATATAATTTAATTTAGTTATCAATAGACTTTATAATAATTAAATTTTTTATATAAAACTTAGTTGTGATTCTCTCTTTTTTTACATTAAGGTACATTTTTATTTTTAAATTTTTTAGGAGTAATTTTATTTCCATACTTATAAGTAGATCAATTTTATTTTTGAACTATCTTTTCTTTTCAAAGAGTATTAGGTACTTTATAAAAGGTTTTTTTTAAATTTGTTTTTCAAAAAAATAATTTATAAGTTAAATTGTTCTACTTTTAAGTACATGAATAAAATTATTCTTCAAAAAAAGTTCAGAAAAAAAAATGTGTCTTAACTTTTTCTTTTCTTTTTTTTTTTTAAGATGGGTATAGCAATTTAGTGAATAGAGAAAAGTTGCAAAGTCAAATTAAACCTGATGAGAGGATTCCACTTCACTTGATGATCCCTGTCGCTTACTTTATAACTCGTTCTCTACAAGACATACACTTACCGGAATCATTCTATCACCATTGCAAATTTTGGCTTTCAATTCGATAGGTTTATCTATATTAACTTCAAAGTCTTTTCAAAACGTGCATGGTTAACACTTGGCATTTTGTCAAGTGTTTCTTGTTAATTTACTTTTTTCTTTGTAGTTTACTTTTTTCAAACATTTTAATATAGCTAAGATAGTGTATGGACTTTAACTTGATCCTTTAATAATTTTTTTAAATTATTATCCAATTATAATTAGCAATTATTTCTTGATGTGATCCATTTCAATTCAAAATTTAGTCCATTCATATCTTGTTTATTTCCCTAGCAAACTGTGACAAACGCAGGACCTTGAATCGATGAAAACATAAACTATATAAAATAAAGAAATAATAAAAATAATTTAATATATATAAAATAAATATTTAGTTTTATAAAAAAATATTACAAAATTAAAATTAAAATGATATTCTTATAAAAATAATCTAAATTTAAATATAATGGTTACAAAATTTAAAATTTATTCGGATTGAGTGAAATATAAAAAGACTCAACTTTTTCCTACACTCAAATATATTTTAATTTGAGTCTAACGACTCAAATTATTGGAACAATAGGGGCAAATTTTTAGAAGTTCTACCTACTTGTGAATTCTTCCAGCTGCAAGTACGTCCGCCCGCCCGCCATTACTAGCAAATAAGATGGAGCAAAGCCAAGATTTAACTATCAAGATATCAAAATTTTTTTTTAAAAATATCTATTACGAATTTTTTTATAAGTTTTGAATAAAAAATACTCCCTCCATTTAAAAATATAAGAAATTTTTTAAA